TAATAATAATTACAATTTATAAAGCGCTAATCCATGGCTGATTTAGGCGCTGTGAAAGATGAAATACAAAATAATACAAAAATGATGATTATAAAAATAATAAAGGTCACACATTGAAAGCTAATTTAAACAAATAAGTTTTCAAAGAAGTCTTGAACGATGACAAGCTCTCAGAGTTCCTAATTGAAGATTGAAGGGCATTCCAGAGTTCAGGTGCAAATACGGAGAAAGAATTCGAACGGTAACCATAAGATTTCAGTTGGTACTTTTTGTGTTCAAGAAGAAAAGCAGAAGAAGAACGTAGGCATCTTGGTGGAGTAGAACGAGAAATCATATCAGAAATGTAGGATAGAGCTAAGTCATAAAGTGATTTGTACGTGATAAGCAGAATCTTGAATTTGATGCGGTCAGCTACAGGAAGCCAGTGCAATTTGATTAGGACAGGAGAAATGTACTCATATTTATGAGTGTACGTAATAAGGCGAGCGGCGGCATTTTGTACAGATTGGAGTTTAGAGATGAGAATACAGGGAAGACCAAAAAGAAGACAATTATGTTGGTCAATCTTGGATGTAACGAAAGCATGAATTAGGGTATCAGCAGTTTTAGCTGACAGGAACTTTCTAATTTTAGCAATGTTGCAAAGATGGTAGAACGCAGACTTACAAACAGAATTAACATGAGGAACCATAGATAACGTAGAGTCGAAGATGACACTAATGTTCCTAGCTGATTTAGCGGGTTTAATCCTGTCGTCTCCAAAAAGCAAGATTGGAAGAGATTTTCGTGGAATATGTTTGGGGTATATTAAAAGAAATTCAGTTTTATCTTTGTTTAAGTTTATTTATCATCATCCACTGATCAATGTCAGTTAAGCAGTTTTCGAATGTAGTTATTGTTCGATTTTATTTGGCGAGTGAAACAAGAGGGTATAAAAAATGGTGATTAACAGTCAAAGTAAGAAAATGAAGAAAACTATGGGATAAATGTCAACTGCTTTGTATAGTGCTTACTAGAGTGATCACAGAAAATTCGTGAAACACGTTTTAAAATTAAATTTCAATATTTTGATGGCTACGCCCTCCACCTAAGTCATCTTATTATTATTTATATCGCCCTGTTAAAAACAATATGGACACATTAATTATTCATGTTATCATTAATTGGTCTTATCGAAATGTAACTGCACGTTATGAGTATGATTGAATGATATGAGTTTGAAAAATATTATTGATATATTATATATTATTACTCATTTATTGGCAGATGATTAAAATACTTTTTCAACTCTTTATGACGTTTTAAGGCGCAATATTTAACTAGCAACAAAGATGATTGGTGGTTATATTTGACTTAATTGTAAGCTGCACGCAAGCCAATTAACATGTGGATGTCTAAAGTCTAGCCCACTGAACAAGTTCAATCGGGAAGCCGATCAGAGCAAATGGGTAATGAGAAAGAAACACCCTATATTAAAACCCTTTTATAATTACCTTAATTGTCGGTGCAAAGCTGCTCTTATTAGACTTCTAAGAAAACCGATGTTTGGCAAGGTGAAGTTCTTTAGCTTTATATGCAATTTAGCCAGAGTATCAAATCAAGAGTTCTTTCTAGTAATCCCCAAACGACGTAAAACTTCTGCACGAAATTAAAGATCCGCAAAGAGAGTTCTCGTCAACATTGATGTACGGAAGAATTTCAATTTTTAGTAGCCCACTACGATGACTTCTAGTCTCAAGTATTGAAGCATTAAACGCGCCAAATCCGACACAAAAGAGCAAATCCATTGTTCGAATTCATTTTCTCAAGAACCTTCAATTATTTTTTATTTATTCGAGATGAAGATGAATGTCTCCCATAATAAAGACCATACAGTGACATCGAATCGAAATGCACTATCGTTTTCTTATCGCTACTAGACTCTCCCACTTCGGGGTTTTGTATACCCCCCCCCCACACACCCTCTAGCTGTGTTCTTGGAAGATTCTTCTTCTTTTACATAACGATGTTTGGTTATCCATATCAAGAGTTTTATGTTTTATGTTTTATAAGAGCCGTAATGAAATTAAGAAAAAAAATGCTTTGGTAGCTTCAGAAAGAAAACTAGCTGGATATAATTAACTAGCTAAACTAGTCAAATGAAGGCCCTTAACGTCAAAACCAATGTGTCATCAGTTAAAAAAGAATTTTAACTATTTTACTATTCTTCATTAACATATTTTTATTCCTTTCATATGATAAGCTACTTTTGGAGAAGCTTGAAAACCTAAGCTTACTAGATTAGTTGAGATTCGATTTTACCAGTTTCCATCTGTTTTCATGTGTGAGAAAGATACGGAAATCACGAACGACAAAAGTTTTCGAAAAAATAGTATATATTTATTTAAAGTTGAGAAAAACAACTGAAACAAAATAAAAATAATGCAAGATGCAATGCAAAGTACGGCATAATTTTTTTGTCAGTAAAATGGCATTTGTAAATGTTGTTGAACATTTTTTAGCTTTTGAAAGTGAAAGACGAGGTACCGCTCTTTATGCGATAACAGTAGTATAACTTATCTCTCAACAACACAAATTTAAGCTCATTTGTTGACCGCGGTAATAAATTTAAACAGCTTTTTCTGTGCTCCGATCAGTAATAAAGCACGTATGAAGTGGCGTAAGCACGAAAGAAGTGTAAGGAGAAGCACTAGCCGTAGCCTCAATAAATGGCGAATATTTGGTGAAATTTTATATGTTATTCAATATTGAAATAAATTATTTATAGAAATATATTAAACTATCAGAAGGAAAGTATCTCTTTTGTTTGCCGACAGGACCGCGCGATAGATATAGAACAGATATAGGAGGTGAACGAAGCTGCTTTTTCTTGAACTAAAAAATACGATAGTTGATATAAAAAACAAATTCTTGAAGATTTATCAAGCTAAATAATGGGCGAATATTCGTTGTAATATGTTCTCCTTTTTATATTTCATTCAGCATTCAAATAAATTAAGCTTATCTATAGAAATATTAAAAGTTTTGAGAGAAAGTCTTCGATATGCGATTCGTCGAAGGAAACTGCTTGTCGCAGAAAGTAAAAATATGCGCGATTATTTGCTAAAAAAACATACAGCTGAATTCTTGAAGAATACTTCTTGATCCATCTTTGACTACATGGAAGTTTATAATTTGTCCCAAAGCCAATTTTTTTCTGTGCATTTCCGAGTAGTTTTGCTTTGAAATCGCGCGGGATTCCTGTGTTGTGTACTCGGACGTCGTACGGGCGGACGGAAGTGACGTCAGCCAAGCCATGAAAAATCAACTCTTCGATGGCGGGAGCTCCGCTTATTAAACGTGAACTTTAGCTTGCATCGTACAGCATTGCGTGCAGCAGATGGCATCGTGTGCAGGTTATATGGTCAACAGTGTTGCTAGCCTAGACCTGTTCCATTGTGGTTAGTTTACTATGTCTCTTAGATCAGTTCCCGTATGGCTTTCGGAGCTGTGAAATTCACGGAACGTGTTGTCGTACGAAATCCACTATACGGTTTTTCCGAGGGGCAAGTGGTACTAGGGGGTTGAGTACTAGCAAGAGAATATGAATTAAGGGAAGGAATCCCCGCTACCGCATCATGAGCACCTTTTGATGCTATATTTAGAATCTTGGATGCTATTTTTAGAAGCATTTATTGGATCATTTGTTTTTCTGCACGCGCATTCAGCGTGCGCTCTACCCTGTTTGCTCATGTTTAGTGCGGGTGCACAAAAACAAACTATGGCAAATGTGTCAGTCTCGACACTGCTTTATCGCCGCCATTGATGTGTAGTTTAAATTACTATAAATGTAGTAAAGCATTTTGATATTTCTACTTAATACCAAGAGAAAATGAACAAAGAGTTGGAATCTCTGGTATTCATGCTTGTAAACTTCCTAGGCACCATTTAATTGATGCTATTTTTAGAATCACGTCAAAATTAAATAGCACATATTAGGCTTTCGCGTGCATGGGGTATGATGAATAATCATTCTGAAGAACACTTTCACACGCAACAGCAGTCGAAATTTCATATTTTACTATGCAATAAGTTGAATGTGGGAAAACCGTGAGAATATTTTTACATATATACAAAATTAAATGCCCTATCTAAAATGCTATATATTAGATATGGCTCTAACTTGAAATACAGATGACTCTGTCTGTTCAAGACAATAAAATGGAAATAGTATTTCCGTATAGGTTCATATCTAGATGGAAGTAACCCTTCCCTTCCCCCCACTCTAACTAAATTTTGTTCGAAATTGGGAGTTTCTGATTGGTAAGCTAGGGGACTTTATCAAGGCTAGCTTTAGAAAATCTTCCCTTGGACGGGCGTCCCAACTCTGACAATACAACCAGAACTAAAGCCAAGTGGGCAAAATTTACGATTGGGTAATCTTTCTTTCTATCATTATTTCATATTTTTTATAAAAAGCGATTATATTAGTCATCGTTAAAAAGAAGTCAAAATTTAAAGCAAAATGGAAAGTTTTTTCTTGCTTTTTTCGAATACGCTTAGCTTCGAGAAGAGCTTTTTTTACCGCTAACGGGTACCTGACACAAGTGGAATAAATTAGACTTCGATTACAAATCCCAGCAGGATAAATGTCTTTAGGTAAGGTCTGTGGTTTTATATTCTAGAATACCACTTGCAAAACGAGTTTATGATAATTGGTCGATGTCCAATGCAGAGAAAGAAATCGAGGGCAACTCAGAGTTGAGATAAAATGAATAGTTTTTAAACAAAATTCCTATATTTTCAAAAATTTTTCAGGGGGTTCTACCAATGACTTTCAATTTTTGTAACGAAATAATGGAAATCTTGTTTTATAATATGCTAATAATAAACGTCACGGAAGAACAAAACCAAAAATAGCAAGAAATCACGATAGGCCGTGATATAAGTATCGAAGCCGCGGTTGAATGGTTTGAAAATAAATCAGTACTCGATATTTGACAGGTTGAATCAAGTATAAATATTGTGTATTTTAGAGGAAACGCATTAAATCGCTTTGTGGCGAGTTGCTAGTTTGTTGAAGCTCTTACTTTAATGTTGAAAGAGAAAGATTTTCTTCGTTCAGAAGTGAAAGGATCTGAAACAAAGGTATTTGGTTAACAAAGAGATCGAAACAATCAAGTCAACTTGTTATGTTTTTTTTTTGCCGTGCACAATAACTCCAACGAAAGCAGAAAATCAAGTTCTCCGTAGGCCAGAAATTTTCTGTAATTTCCAAGTAATGAATTGTCTGCTAAAAAGCTTGAATTCTCAAAGACAATCGAATATACTTTGTGATGTGGTATTGGTAGTAAAAAATCAAGAGTTTCCCGCCCATAAAGGCATTCTGGCAGCGAATAGTAACTATTTTATGGCGATGTTCACGACGAACATGGTGGAGAAAATACAAACTCGAATAGACTTGAAAGAAATGGACCCTCTGGCTATTAAATCTATTTTGGATTTTATTTACACTGGAGAATTGAAAATAGACGAAAGAAATGTTCGGGTTTTATTAGAAGCTTCGAATTTTCTTTTTATTTCTGCTGTCAAAGATGCTTGTTGTCATTATTTGGGAAGCGTTCTTGAAGCAGATAATTGCTTGACGATAATGTCTATCGCAGATGAATTTTTCTGCGAGAAACTTCATCACAAAGCTTTAAATTTATTTTACAAGGAATTTTTAACCATAGCGAAACATGAAGACTTTATGAATTTAAATGTGGATGAGATGATAGTGCTGCTGTCAAGCGATGAAGTACGCGTCGAGAGTGAAGATCAGATGTTTGAAGTTCTTGCCAACTGGATATCATACGATTTGAAAGAAAGAAAGAAGCATCTTGCACGACTTATGCCATTAGTTCGCCTGGATTTCATTGAACCAGGACTTTTAGAAAATAACTTAATGTATAACGAAATTGCAAAAGATATTTGTACTAGATATTCTAGAGAAATGTATGGACGCTTAGAGCCTGCAAATCCAAGGAAATCTTACAGTAGTGTAGATGCCATCTTGGTCATCGGTGGTGTAGATGAAACGAGGATTTTGGAAACTGTTTCTTGTTATATTCCTTGTGTAAACAAATGGTGTGAGCTTGGAAAGATGAATGTACCACGTTGGAGGTAAGGAAAAACATGCAAGGACATCAAATAAAAAAAAAAAGTAATTCTTAAAAATACATCATAGTAGGAAGTGTTTCTGCCGCTCAAGGGACAAGGAAAAAATCTTGGCAAGAGGATACAAATATTGCATCATTAAGCGCTTGGTTCCTTGCMAAAAAAAAAAAATAATGTGTCATTTTAATGTCTCATTAAAAAAAGTTCAAGACGTCAGGAATTATCATAGTTTAGATCTTGGCAAAACAGGTGAATTTAGGAACAATTACTCGGCATTAATATTTAAGCGACATCAATTAGAATTTGAGACGTCTAAAAATAGCCCGCTCCCTGATTCGTCGAGCAAAAACCCGAACAAAAAACATCATTTCTATAAAACGTTTTAATTCTTTATGAAGTTAAGTTTTGTACAACGAAAATCTGTATGCGTTTTTTAATTATCGATTAAAAAAATAATAATTTGACTCATATTTTCTTCGAGACAAACCTTTTATTTTTCGATTTAATAGGGAGTGTGAAACTGTGCAAAACCACTCACTGTGGATGCAAGACATTTAAAAGAAAAATTCTGTCGTAACCGAAGCTTTCTAGCGAAATAGACCTTATTCGTGCAATTTTTTCCCATTCAAACCACGTGTCATTCGCTATAGTATGATTTCTTTGTTTAACAGTTGTGCATGAGAAGACACACTAATATAGATACAACTCGAACAAACAATTTTTTTTTCTCAAGAGAATGAAACGTGACCTTGTATGGGAATACAATCGCAACACAAGGAATATAGTCTATGAATAGCTAAAAAACTAAAATATAAATTAAAGAAATTAGTGTTCATGCATGTTCTTGATCAATACCGATGTATTGATACTCCAGTTTGGAGTTCTCTGGTGCAAAGAGTTAGCCTCGATTTTGTGCAGATTATTGATTTGTTACAGTGAAGATCCGTGGAATTCCAAAGTGTTTGTATTGTTGAAGTTGTCATTAGTATTTGAGAAAATTTAGACACTGATACGAGGCTAACCCGAGTTAAAGAGTCTGTAATCTAGAAACACAGCTGTAATTTAAAACTCAAAAATGTTCTATTACAAGTGAAGTTTCAATGCTGATAGATTTTAGCAATCTAAGCTAACGATATTGATACAAACAGGTTATACTGATTATAAATGGTTACAGTTTTACAAGCTATCGATATCAAAACAATCAAAACCTCCGTTTTGGAGATCAAGTAGACAAAAATGGCTCGAACTTTCCAACTTAAAAATGTTGGATCATTTTTCATTGTTTATACATATTCAAGCAATGTACTATATAGTCCTGCAATATTACTAGCAGGTTTTAGAGAGCCTTTGTGTAGCTTAGGAAAATGTACTGAAACTGGATTCCCTAATTCAACCACTTCTGATTGGATAGATCACTTAATTTTGTTGCCATCATATTGTGATGTGACATTTTACAACCATTAATAGTCGTTGAAGTGCGACCCGCGAAGTTTGATGTCTTGTTCGATGACTAGCAAGACCAACCGTCAATTAAAGTAGTTAAATTAAAACAACAATATTTAGTGAGATTTCAGACTGAGTTAAATATTTTAATCCTCTAATCCTATAAAATCTTTAATCCAGTCCAAAATCTCCAGCAAGATATTGTCAGTTTTTTATATTTCAGTTTTTTGATTGACGGTCATTGACATGCTCTGTGGTCAAACAAGACATCAAGCTTCGTGGGTCGCACTTCAACGATAATGGTCATGGACGGATCTAGGGGAGGGGAGCGCACCCCTCTCCCCATAGATGAGCTAGCGCTGATATCTACTGCATTATTGGTCTTTGAGTTCAGTGCCTCAATGGATTTTGAGTCCTGTGTTTTGACCCAAAACGTTCAATTGATGTTCAATACATTTTCCAATCTTTTTTTAAGGCTGAACGTTACAAAGGCAGACTCGACAGTCTTCGCGGTCGGTGGTCTTCAAGAAGTTTCAACAACTCAAAAAGAAGTACCATACATGGAAAGATACGACCATAAAACCGATCAATGGGAAGTCTACCCCACTCCAAACCTCCCTTTTCCAGTCGACTGCAGTTTTTATAATGCCGTGGGGCTTGGTAGCGAAGTTATTTTTATCCAAAGTCTTGACTCAACTCAGCAGTATCCGAGATCGAGTGTAATAAGCTTAAAGGAAACAAACGGGGAGCATGTTTTTGCTCCTTTGGCGGCAATTCCACGTAGACGTGCTGGTCATTGTATTGCTGCGCTTTCCGATCACGTGTACGTCATTGGAGGCTCGTTCCAGGCCATTAGTAACGGTAGTCCTCTCGGTGAAAATGCCGTCGACAGATATGACAGAGAGTCAGGTAATACAGCAATACAGTGACAAGCAATACAGCAGAATATCCATTAGTTGATATTTTTTATAATTCAATAGCCAATGAGCACGAGCACGAATCTCTAGCACAAAGCATGAAGGAAACCGAGTACTTAGCTTTTTCAGCTCTTCTCTAAAAACCCCTCGAATTTTCCCTTCGACAATTTCTGTCAAACTGTAACTATTTCAACTGAGTAATCATATGTTTTTTTTCTGATAATTCTATTGATTCCCTTGTTCTGATTTTTGTAGTACTTGGTTTCCCAATGAAATACTTTGTGCCAGAGATTCGCGTTCGTGGCTCACCAACGGGCTGGTAACGACCTCTTTCCGTCAAGAAAACAACGCTAAAATCATTAAACGAGTGAAAAAGCATTGGCTAGTTAGTTAGTAGATCGACTTAGTATTACAGCTTTTTTCAAGATGTTCGCACTTTAATGTTTAATCTGTCTTTCCTATTTTCAGATTCTTGGAGTACAGTGACACCAATGAATCAGCAAAGGTGTGACGCTGTATCTGTTTCTTCCAATGGTAAAATCTTTGTATTCGGTGGTTGCCATGGCACTCAAGCATTACGTTCAGCCGAAGTTTATGACCCCGAAACTAATCATTGGACATCTATTGCGCCAATGAGCACATCACGAATCAATGCTGGAATCGCAGAGCACTCTGGGAAGATTTGGATAATCGGTGGGAAGAGCGGTCCAAGAGGGCCTATACTTAGTTCTATTGAGTGCTACGATCCGTCCGCTGATGAATGGACCAATGGTGCTTCTCTTCCTGATAAAAGACAAGACTTTGTGTGCTGCATGACAGGGGTCGCTTATAGGACTGTCGCTTCAATGATAGAGGAACAAGAATAGAATAGGATACTTTATTTAACGTGGAACACATACGCTTAGCTATATACTAGCTAGTTTACAGGTAGTCCACCTAATGATTAATACAAAAAACGTACATTGTATAAGAGATATACGATAAAATACCAATTGTTATAAAGTTAAATTACCGACATGGATTTTTTTAAAAAACACTTTCATTCAAAGCAAGCTGGCTGTACATATTTAAGAGTGTTAAAAGAGACAAATATGTCTGCCTAATTGATTAAAGCTGGTATATAGCTATTTCAAAAAACGTTAAAGGGGCGAACGGCAAATGGCGATCAATGATTAGCGATTGTCGACCGAAAGGTGCAGTAGGCATGCATCTAAACAAGATTAATCGAGGTGTTTTAATTGGTTTCTCGACTACTACTCAAACAACAACATCTGTGTTATTGGCAAGAATAACAAGAAATTTAAGTCATTCTTTCTAGCTATTCTTGCATCTTGATATGACCTATCTCTTATCACTTATAACCTATCGCTTGTTACCTATCGCCGTTCGCCACTTTAACCTTTTTTGAAATAGCTGTATTTAGTATATTTATATGCCAACGATAAAATTTTGCGAGCTGTCATTGGTTCAGATCGGTCACTTGCAGGATGGATGTCAAACGATATCCTCTGCCCGAAGCGATCTCCGTTCAGTGAAAAAATAATTCCACATCACATACGCGCTGAAAGGGCACATGGAACCCAATATGTAGTTCGTTGTAAAATCTCAGTATCTACGAGTTGGCCATGCACATGAGATATTTAATTTAGGTTGTGTCAGTAGATGGGATACTTATGGGATACTCGCAGTCCAGGTGATTGAGAGAGACTAGGGTTAACTAAGTACGTCATAGGTTTCCGAACACACGAGTGGGACTTTTGGAAATTTTGGTTCTCTTCACTTAGAAAAAAAAATTGAGTGAAGACACCCAAGAACCCTAACCACTAGACCACGAAGCGAATTCCCTTGGGTGGTCTCATTTTTTAGTCATATTTAAATACATAAATATTTATAGTAGCTTAATTTATGCTATCTTAGGGTACGACTACTAGCCGACTGAATAAAATCCCCTGACTATACTCTCCCTAGTCTCTCAATCACCTGGACTGCGAGTATCCCATCTAGACACAACAACCTTTAATTTTTCACAACAACTTACAACTTTCGCGCGCTAATTGGTTTATTTTTATCATCAATAAAAGGACAGACAGATAAAGCTGAACGAGCGTGCGCTCTTTCCGTTGATTGTTTTGATCGCTGAAAATGAGAAGTGTTTATCGTTTTTGTTAATGAAAAAACAAATAGACATCAGTTTTTTGTGTCTGTCCTCTCATTGACGATAAATTTCGTAATCACATTGCCAAAGTAGTATGCGGATCCACACTAATTTGACAATGTGATGACACAAATTATCGTCAATAAGAGGGCAGACAAATAAATAACTGATATCTGTTTTTTCAATAGAGCTTTTAAGCATTGAATATTGAGTTAAAACGGGTCCTCACTAGCGACATAAGCTGAATTTCCCAGTGAGGACATACACTCTTATGCTTGTGCTTATGTGCTAGTGAGGACCAGGTTTAATAGTTTAAGTTTACTTATTCAATTTGTCCTCTGCTCAAAAATGCCTCGTTTTCATGACTGCGCCTTCGATATTTATGACAGCGCTCGCGCATGTCTAAAATCGTCTATTTTCCTGATTTAATTTTATAAAAAGTTGAAATCTGTGTTTAGGCTACCTGTGATCTAGGTTCAAAACTGAAACAATAAAGAAATGAAGAATTAAATGGATAAAAAGAGCTGTACCTAACAGTTTTGTCAAGGCATTTTCCACGGACTCTAAAATTTAATTGGAAAGTTTTATTTCAAAGCTTCATGGGATTTTGAATAGCGAACAAACTCTAGCTTTTGCAAGGTGTTAAAGCTGTGTAGAAAAACTTGTTTGTCGAATGAGTAAGACAAAGACGAAACATAGGCAGGCAATATTTTTCATCTGCACCAGGCAATATTTTTCATACAACTTGTGTCACACGTTGGACTTTAAATTTCCTAGGCTTTTGCTAGTAGGAAAGACTGTAATGATCTGGGGCGATAAAATGATAATTTATGCGTGATGCAATATCATTGGCTGTCATAACAGATCGTTGCGGGACAATTTTCAGGAAATGGTACTGTTTTACACAAGGCAATGTCGCTCAATTTTGTTGCGAAAAGTGGTTGCGGCGACTCGATTGTGTCACAAATGTGTTCTTTTCTTATATTAAGGTCCGTTGTATAGTAAGGAATGCACGTACTATGGAACAATACAAGTGCCACTGGTTTTGGTTGAATAGCTCAGAATATTTCAACCCACAGCGGAGACTAAGACTAAGCAAAGAGAACTCGAAACTGGAGTAGTATTGCCTAGTTAATAGCACTTTACCAGCTGATCTGAAATAGACTTATAAATGACGTCACTGCAAAACAGAGGAGTCTTGAGGCCTACAAAAATTAAATATTGTGTCACTGTTATCCAGGCGCTATATTTCCCATTTGGTTACCTGGAAAGTCAACATTTCAAGAGGAAAAGTCAGGACACTTCAGTTTTGCTAATTTTCTCCATTTTGATTGGCTAACATTTTTCTAATACTTTAAAATATAAATCTGTTTTTATGATTAAAAATCCAACGAAGAAAACGAAAGTACACATCTCACACACGTAGAGAAGAACGCTGAATGATTTCCGAACTTTGAGTCATATATGCTGACTGCCGATTGTTTTCTTTGGTTTTCCATGGAAAAATGTCATTCGTAAACCATCATCTACTCGTTTTATATCATCTTATCATAAAATATTTAAAATATAACGCTACGCTGATTGGCTGGTGACAGTGTTTATATCATAGGAAAGAGACACGTTCGCGCAAAATCGTCCTAAAATATTTTATGAAAGCAATATAAAACGGCTGCTTATGTCTCTGTGTTTTGATATACACACTTGTTGAGACCCTTAGGGCACTCGAAATGCAAGAGAAACACTTGGCAACGCCTCGTGCTACTAAGCTTGTTTTTTCTCTGCTCTACAGCTTCCAAAGTGTATATCACAGCAAAGAGACATAGATATTTATCTATTTCAGTCTTTAACGTTTTATTTCTACGCTGTCTAATTAACCTTTATTTCTACGCTGTTTAACTAACCTAGATGAATGCCATACGTGCTTTTGGCACACTATTTCTAATGTTCATAGCCGTCATGTTGGTCGTAGTTCCTTTCCTTGTAGCACACAACATGGACGACATTTCTTTTGGACGTTTTAATCTTTTGGGAATGATTACAGACCATGGCATGGTTACTTGATGGTCACTATAAACTAGTTCAAGTGTCTTCTAGAATAATCAAGTTTGTCTTTCCCATACTGAAAAAAAGTTTAGTAAAAATGATCACAAAAGGTACTCATGACTTCGTACTTTTGTCTAGGACTAAAAGTTGATTATAATGTATTCTTTAGAATGATTGGAGGCATTTAAGTTTCTAGTAACCATAGCCCGAGAAAGGGAGGCTCCTTCTCTTCCTTCCATCCTTCGTAGAGCCGCTAACGCCGGCAAAACTGCAACTGAACTAGAAGGACAATAGCGCAGCGCAGCCGTGACGTCATAAAAACGAAGACAAAGGCGAAGTCGGACAAACGAACTTACAAGTTTACTTTCAGCAGATAATTTTCACAGCCGATCGCAGTTGATCTTAGCTTACATGGGTTATTATTGTAACTTTAAGTAAGAATAATAAAATTGGTTCGTATAATCCTCGTAGCGGTTAAACAGAATGCAATGTTTGTCCGAATCTTTAAACTATTTTTAGAATCAGTGCGCTGCGCTATTAACATCAAGAACAACAAACATGACTAACCTTGAACTTCCCTTGCCACATCTGCTTTTCCAACATCGTGAAGTGCATTGATAAGAATCCCTGTCGTCGCACGACTTCCGTTACTCTGCCTCCACCTAACAAACATCCGACGCGCCTGTTCCCGTGTTCTGCCATGACAATCCATCTTTATGGCGTGAATGGTGCTTTCGTCAATGGCAAGGTACCTCCCGAGAAATTTCCAAACATCTTTTACATCATTGGTAATTTTGTTTAAAAGTTTTTCTTCTACTTTTTGTCCTCCAAGGCTCCTATTCTCTGTTAGCAAGACTACGCACAGCGAAGAAAAAGCCTTTTTTAGTAAGACTCATTAAAGAAAAAAAGTAAGTAAACAAACAACTAAGAAAAAATCTAATAGCTAATAGTCAAACTAACAACAAACGGACATACAACAGAGTAAATAAACAAAGAAAGTTTAAAAACAAACGAGAGAGAAAAAAAAAAAACTTAAAGAAATAAATAACTACATAAAAAGACAAGATAACAGATGGACAGCTTTGTCTTGTGATCTATCAAGCCAAGCATCTGCACAAATTCAAAAATTCGACTAGTATATTTCAATATTAAAGACCTTTAGCATCGTGTTTCCGCTAACCGCTATAACCTTTAACTGATAGGAATCGGGCACCGGAAAACGCCCACGAACACGAAGAAACACTCGGCATCAATTCTTGAATATTCTATACGTTCAATTCAAAATTATGGCGGCGAGTAGAAGGTAYGAGTTCAAAGTCGAGTATGGAGGCGGGGGAAGTTTTCGAGCAATTTCTACAAATTTTCCAGGAGGAAATCCTGTTATGATACCCCGACCACTTTCAACAATCTCACATATAACGAGAGATCTCAAATCACTACTTATGCTCTTTCCCCTACTGTAAACACGACCAAGTTCGCTGATGTTCATTGTGCATTTCGAGAGAAAGGAATGCAGACAATATGACACCTCCAAGTGGGCGGAGTCACAGCGTCTCATAGGCAAATCCGCAGACGAATTTTTTAATGCGTGCCACACTTCAATGAAATCCGTAGTACGATGCTTTGCTAAGCTTTGCTAAATGTCGACTGAAAACGCCTAACGTCGAACTGCAGTTTGAGGTTTCCGGTACCTAGGAAGAACGTCGTACTACAGGTCTCTATTATTCACCTGAAACTTTGTTCGCTTCTTCCACCAACTTTGTGTCAATTAATGCCATAAGGAGCTTCTTCAAGGTAGGATTCTTGTCACTCTGTCTCCAGTGAACCAGCATTTGGTAAGCTTGTTCTGCATTGCCTTCAGAGTTATAGTCGACTTGCAAACTTTGTAGCTTGTTATTTTTAACATCAAGATTTTCCCCAATTTCTTGCCACTTCGTAGTTGCATGTTGAGCTACATAAAGAAAAAATCTTCTGTACTTTTTTATATTCCCTTTCTGACTAAGGTCATCATTCAGCTGGTCTGCAAATAAATGGAATGGAAATTTTTCGTACTTTATCTTAACTCTGTGAATCCACACAATATACTTGCTTATCATCTGGGCGTTATATTTTCCCGTTCATGACTGTTGTTAATTCTCTTGAGAATAAGATTATTTTTTCAAGTTGTTTTTATATTCATGTGTCCCGGGAAATGACAAGAGGTCTGAATTGGGAAAACATTACGCAAAAGGTAAAAATGAAATGACAAGAGGTCTGAATTGGGAAAACATTACGCAAAAGGTAAAAAAGTCTATTTTCAAAGATTATATAAGAAAGGAGGAAGCAGGAAGGGACAGAGAGGCAAGACGAAGAATCAAGTTAAGGAAAGGCAAAGAATGGTAGATGAACAAAGAAACATGAGCAAGAGAAAGAAAATCAGAGAGGAAAGGAGAACGATAAAGCAAATAAAGCCAAAAGAAGTGGGGCAAAAAGCTAGAGATAAGCAAAGTAATGCAGGGCAAACGATGGTAAAAGGGAGCAAACGCGAAAACATGAAAATCAAGGAGGAAAGATGGATGGGAATAAATAGGTATTGGAGAAGCTTTCGCATGACTGTGCAAAGCTGTATGCGTGCCGTGACCGTTATGCTTTCTAGAATTTTGATTGGCTTTTTTCTCGCGCAATGCGATTGGTCTGACAGTGTCGTGTCCCTGGCGTGACCATGTCCGTGTCGTATGCTTATGTCGTGTGCCAGATATTTGAATAGAGAGTATTTTAGGATTTAAAAATTCTCGCTCAATGTGATTGGTCTGGTGTATCCATTGCCATGTCACGACCATACTCGTGCTGTGGGCTTTCCACAATCAGAAGAAAACTGCTCTACTGTAGGCTGACAATATTGAGTAGAGGGAATAGATATGGAATGGAATACGAGGGCTTTAAAAATTAAGGGGTAATTATCATAAAATTAAAAATCTCATACTTGAGCCATCTTTGAGATTCGATTTTATTGCTTCAAGATGGTCAATATTGTCTTCAGATAATCCTACAATGGAGTAGTCACAATTAAAATAAATAAAACATCTGAATTTTACAAGTTTTGTTCCAATGCACATAGGTTCCCATTCCTGTTATATACCCCACTCATAAGTGATCCCAAACATCTGACAGCTTTCAAGCCTCTCATTTTATTCTTATCGTTAAATATAGCTAATAATAAGTAAAGCTTATAATAAATAAATAAATAAACAAACAAACAAACAAACAAACAAACAAACAAACAAANAAACAAACAAACAAACAAACAAACAAACAAATAAATAAATAAATAAATAAATAAATAAATAAAATAAGCATGGAATGCTTAATATTTGGTATGCTACCTAACGACATTACTTACCTCTTCTCCTTCTATTAAGTATTGTTCTTATAGGTTTTCCAGGGTTGGGTGATATATTTTTGTTTTACTGGGGGTGGGGCTTGGAAAATTTAGAAGGGGGCTTGACTTGAATGCCATGTATGCTTGCTAGTATACTAAATGAGTATAATAATCATCCTTGTTTTTCTTAATAAAAAAATCAAAGCATGGAAATTGCTAACTGGAATGGAACCTTGCACTGACCACTGGTATGTTAAAATGAATAAATGGATGAATTCAGCTAGTCTATATAATATTTTCTTTGCTAAAATATGTCTTAATAGCTAGTTAATAGAATTTTAGCAAAATTAATTTCCATCAATTTAGATATTAAGACACCATTATTTCACCACTTTTCTGCATATGAATTTCCTGTGGTGTGGCGTGAGCTACAATGTACCCTGTAAAATCAGTAACCCTCTTATGCAGTAAGAATCAATCCCAAGTGTTTCCCTATTATTATATATTAAACAATTTTTGGATTAGGTTGACCATAATATTGCAAATTATTAAAACCAAGGCCATGTCAATCTGCTGAAGCAGTATATAGGCTGAGATTGATATAACAGCTGAGGTCTTAATAATTTACTATATCCCACGAAAATCAAATTCAATAATAGTGCCTTATAGTACATTTTGTAAACTAAGAATAAAGATTTGATTGTTTTGAAAAAAAAAAAAAAATAGCAAACATATCTCAATCTCCATGACTGTTATCTTGAGTGAACATGACATGATAAATGTGTTAACTGAAAAACTAAACAGCAAGAGAAAATGACCTTAGTGAAGAAATCCCCTCGCCCCATCATGAACACTCTTTGTTGCTATTTTTAGAATCTTTGGTGCTATTTTTAGAATCTTTGGTGCTATTTTTAGAATCATTCATTTGAATCTTTGTTTTTCTGCATGCGCATACTGCATGCACTCAGTACCCTGTTTGCTCATGTTTTCTTTTGTTTAAAAAAAATGTAAGCAAACATCATGGCATCATGTAAGCAAAATTTAATGTTATTCTAAAAATAGCATCAAACGGTGCCTATGATGGTTACAAGCATGACCAGAGATTCCTTCTCTTAGTTCATTTTTTCTTGCCAATGGATAATGCATTTATCATGTCAAGTATGTCACATGTATGGCACCAGGGATAATGCTGAGGGCTCTTGGCCAGTCAGAAGCAAGATAGTAAGTGAATGTATAAATTGAAATATCTTCTAGATACAGTACCTGAACAATTTGACACCTGGATTGGAGATTTTTCTTTGTGACTATTGCTTTGGTCATCTTGCTTGAGTGGGGCTGTAAGTAGCTCTTTAACCAGAATTCAATGAAATATCATTAACAGTTATTATTGCATTAACATACATTTATCAGCTAGTATATTCATTGAAATTATCTAAGGTTCAAAGTCTTTTAACTCAATTATGACATTAAGATTAAATTTGACCAATCGTGGTGACAAAAATTTTTTTATAAATCTGACATCTCCTACTGAAAATTGCAAAGACATGCAAATATAACTGTGTGCAAGCTAATATAAGCAGGCCTGCAAAGATTTGAAAATACTAAGACCTACCTTTTCCCCCATTTACTATAAGCTTGGAGTGATCTTTTGATGCTGTTATGGAGAGGAAAGATACATGAATGTAACTGTATTATGATATATATAGTTGAAATATTTCCAGTACAAAGCAAAATTTCATGGAAATGTCCAAGCTCGGCCCTAGCATGCAAATCCTCTTCAAAACTTCCCTTCCTCAATCACCCCACAGGACTGGGCATTACATCTCAAATATTAGGTCTCTCCCCGGGGGGTTTTCTCCACTGGTTCTATCTTCATGGTTTTACTCCCTCCACAATACACCCAAGATATTAAATTTCCATTCAATCAGCCTTGCTCTGACTTTGATTAGCCAACAGGTTGTTTCAAGGTACTGATAAAATTTGAAGATTTTTCTGTAAACATGTTGTGCTAGTGCCACTGATTAAATTTTGTATTAGAATTAAGTGCACACAGAAATTATCTACAAAAATATGAATATAAATGATGTAAATATTTCATACATACCCAAGGCATCATTCTTGTATGTAGTTTGCTGATATACACTGCCCTCGTATGGATCTGTTGGATGTCCATGGTACATTTTTGGAGGTGAATTAGGAAACTCATTTTTGTTATCTGTCTGATCGTCTAAACCATGACCTAGTTCTGAAGGACCATTAAATAACTCATCATGTTCTTGTGATTGCTTTGGTTTTGATATTTGCTCGTTGTCTTCTGGTTGAGAACCATTTCCATCTTCCTCTATCTTGTCTTCAAATTTTTCGTCTAATTTTGAATCAGGTTTTTGGTCTTGTGTCATCACTCCTGAATAAAAGGAAGACTGTGGAGCAGTTTTATCTTTCTCTATCTTCTTGTCCTCAAATTCTTTGTCTAATTTTGAATCAGGTTTTTGGTCTTCTGTCACCTCTACTGAATAAGAAGAAGACTGTGGCGTAATTTTATCTTCTTCTTTCTTCTTGTCCTCAGATTCTTTGTCTAATTTTGGTTCAGGTTTTTGGTCTTCTGTCACCTTTACTGAATAAGAAGAAGACTGTGGTGTAATTTTATCTTCTTCTTTCTTCTTGTCCTCAGATACTTTGTCTGATTTTATATCAGATTTTTGGTCTTCTGTCACCACTTCTCCTTCCTGTTCAGATTCCACTTTTTGGCTTTCACTGCCACTGTTATCTAGTAGACAAAAATCAATGGGAAATAGCAATAATTCTTTTTCCCAATCAGGTATCCCTTAAATAATACATTCTGATTGGATGCGTGAATAAGCATTATTTTCTATCTTTTCCTATGGTGTGGTATAGTCCTATCATGATATAAGGCTTGTCATACAAGCTTATGCATGGAAAACAGATTGTTAAACCCCAAAAAAAAATTGCAAAACAAATGGAAAAGTAAATGGGAAAAAAATAATTAAATATTTAATAACTGACCTAAAGTTGGTTGGACAATTAAGGAAAAGATGTGCCCTCAGTTTTGAAAACGGACCTGACGGCCTAACAGCCTTGTTCCATATACTTCAAGACCTCGGGCACAGTTTTTCCTTATCTGGACCTCATGGCTGGTAAATAACACATACATATGTATTGCACAAATTTATAAACTTTCTTAACTTAATGTGTAGTTCCAGAAATTATCCAAACCCCAAACCCACCCCCCATTACCTCCAGAAATTCCAATTTCCTTCCAATCATACAAATTCTGTAATTTTTTCTGAAATTCCAAATTCCCCTGGGGGGAAGGGGGGGGAGGGGGGGGTGGGTAATTTCTGGAACTACACAATGTCAAATTATATCATATGTCATACGTACAAGTTACCTTGCTTGATTCCAAAAATAGAAATAGAAATTTCATTATTTTCTCTTTTTTCAAAACTGCCAACTACAGTCTCTTTATCTTGAAGAAGAACTGGACCGGCATCAATATCTTCCAACTTCTTATAATTATCAAGATATTCTGCATCAACACCATACACATTGGATAACTGATGATTCAACTTTAGTGGAATAAATGTGAGGACGTCTTCTTTGTCTTGCTTCTTTTCTTCATAGCTTAAAACATATATTATTTCTTCTTGACCTCTTAAATTTTGAGCTACTCGAATCTTCTTACTGTATTTTTCCAAGAATTTGCAACGATCTAAGTCACATTTATCTAATTCTTGAGAATCACAAAGCAAAAATATGTGTTCTTGAACTTTAACAAGGTTAGCAGGTGAAGAGTCTAGTTTACATGACTTTGATTTGCCTGAAAATCGATGGTAAGTAAGTGTAGTTTTGATAATTTTGTCTTCTTCAAGATCAGGATCACATGCATAAAAGAAATATCTAGCATTCTTAAACTTTTCACTGTCAGCTGATTGTTTTATATTATTTCCGATAAACTTTTGAAGATTGGCATCATTTTTTATAATACAGCCATAAATTGTAAATGTTATTTTCTTTTTTCCTTTTCTGTATGTCATTTCAACAGTTGCTGTCCCTTCGGTGCCATCTTTCTTGGATATATGTAGGCCAGCCATAGCTGTACAAAAGACAAGGCTGATCTGAAAACCTGTATGAAATAAAAAAATAAAAGAAATAAACGAATAAATAAACAATACATTAATTAAATGCATTTGAATGAATGGTGGATGGATGGATGGATGGTGGATGGATGGATGGTGGGTGGGTGGATGGATGGATGGATGGATGGATGGATGGTGGATGGATGAGTAAGTATGCAAGGGACTAAATCCCCCTCTAATGAACTGTGATGGATGAGAGAAAAAAATCACTTTTTTGTGTCTAGTCATTCTAGGGTTTTTGCATTAATTGGTGACACTTTTCACACACACACACTACCACTTTGTTCAATACATTTATGCACACAGTTCTCAACTCACATGTTGATTTTTTACAGAGGGAGGAAACTGGAGAGCCCGGAGAAAACCCTCGTAGCAAGAAAGAGATCAACACATCAAGCAACCTCAATTCACATGGCAACCGCAGGGCTCGAACCAGCAACACTGCATTAGCCGCGTGAACACCAATGCTACCCAGAGTAGAAAGGTTAAGAGAGTGAGTTAGGATGTAGTATTCGGCATTTTCGAGCCTAATGATGTGATTAAAACAGAGTTTATAATTTCAAGATTTTCATGTAATTTATATTTCTTTTAAGATAGAGTAGATAGGTTCTGGGTTTTGGACTCTAAGTAGCTCATTAGCTAATCTAACAAGACCAAATTCTAGCCTCCCCTCGGGATTGGACCGAAACTGAGCTGTTAAGACACGTCCAAAGCAGGGAATGATCCTTCGCCTTTAAAAACAAGGCATGTAAGACTCATTCTTAGAAATCCAGGAAGTCTGTAAGCCAACATTAAAGCTTAAATTAAGTTTACACGTACATTTTGACAACTTATCTAGCAAAAGATATAGTGATTCCGCTAGATGTCAAATCCCTATAGGGAAGGGCTGGGAATTTACTTATAGCTTGGCGATATCTGAAAGCAAACATGTTTGATATTTGTATCTCATTTTTGCATCTCAGTTTAATGAACAACGTGTCTCTTATTTCTTTAGCAAGTTCCTTATTTGAGTTCAAAACTGACCCGATTCTAATTACAACAATAATAATAATAATAATAATTACATGTTTTACCAGGGTAAGCTCGTCAGCAAACAGCTGTTATCAAGGAGCGCCCTGGGGGCAACAAAAATTATCAACAAA